CGCAATGTAGCCCAGCTTGGCCTCGAACTCATGGTGATCCTCCTGCCTTGGCCTACTGAGTGCTGGGGTTACAGTCCTGCACCACCCCACCCAGCTGTCATTCATTTCTTAAATGTTTATGTTTTTCTTAAAACATTTTTAGCTGGGGATTTAGCTCAGTGGCATAAGTGTCTGCCTGGCAAGTGTGACGTCATGAGTTTCATCCCTGGTACCGAAAAAACAAAACCAGACAAAACCAAAAAGCCATTTTTATTATGTGATATTTTAAGACAAAAAATATAAAGAATATAGTGCTAAATGCAGTGATGCATTCCTGTAATCTTAGCTACTCAAGAGACTATGGCAGTAGGATTAAGAGTTCAAGGACAGGCTGGGCCACTTAGCCAGTTTCCATCTCAAAATTATATGGAAAAGGGCTGCAGATATAGGTGGGCGCTTCCTGCATTTAATCTCCAGCGCTACCCAAAAATTCCTGATGGAAATCTATGAATATATCACCAGGTTCTTAGAAGGTTAGAAAATAAAATGGTTGTGTGATCTTTCACTTATGACTAAGTTAATTTATTAAACATTAAAACCTTTTGGACTATTCCACTTAAGAATATTTGATTAGGCGAAAAGTTAGCAGAAACATTTATTGATTTTTCCCAATGCAAAAGAACTAATTCCTAGATAATATTTGTTTGATTCACAGGTTTTTCCTTTTGGAACTTATAATATACCGACAATAACATTGTATGTTGCAAACGTATACTTTTTATTAGAGGTTATGGTTAGAGACCTCTGTATCAGAGAGCAAATTAACATGGTGTCATCATTTGCAAATAACTATAGAAGATTTTATTATTATTTATTTAGCTTGACTCTTGGAGATTTTTAGTTCCTGATTTATTCATTACACTTATTTTAATCACATAAGAGAAATACCAAGCAGAATAACTTTTATTTATAAAAATTTCTTAGCAACATTTTATAGTATGTATAGACACTAAACAAATACATCAACATTTTTCTGTGCTACTTGGAAGGTTCTATAATTTTCCTTCTTAAGACATTTGAAAATAGTACTAAATCAATCATCTTAAATATATGAGAATAGCAACCCAGTATTCATGTATCTAAATTTGCAGAATCTGACTAATATTAAATTCTAAAGGTGGTAAGAATTTTCTCATATACTGGTTACGGAAAGCTAACCAGGGTTATGGAAAGCTACACAAGGTTAGGGGCAAACCAGTTTTGTGTCTTAGTGGTACAGTTTTAGTTTAACAAAGACTTACTAAACACCTGCCAATGTTGGGTCCTGAGCTGGTGCTGCGGACACAGGGCTGAGCCATTCGTGATCGCCCCTCCGTTAGCTACACATTCATTCATTCTTTATCTAGAGTGTATGATCCTGCTCTTAACCTGTTTAGAGTCAATGGCTCTTGAACATGATGTGTAAGATGACTAGTTGATTGAGCTGCATAGAAAGGCTACTTTAGACAGAGCCCAATGATTAAGCCTTAGAAGAGGAGGCCAGTATTTGACTTAACATTGGCCATCAACTGCTTTTGCAGTAATTTAAATGACTGAGGTTTTATTCATTATAACTGTATTATTCAGATTTATATATTGAAAAGAGGGTCACAAATACTTTTTCCTGTTTCTATATATTTATCTACACATAAATACGGACCTGCTGTTGAGGTTAGCAATTCTCTTCCCTTTGTGGATTTTCTTTTAGAGCACTTCAGTCTTCTTCCACAATAGTACAATGAGACTGTATTATTAACTGATCTGTGGCAAGTCATAACGGCCATTTTAAAGTATTTATTAAATAAACAAGGTAAAGATGTGGTTTTCATTTCTTTTTCTTTTGAGTTTGAATAACTTTGTAAATGAAATACAAACACGTTCAACTATAGCCAGTGTCTGTTTCCAGTGATTCATGAGATGATTGTCTGTATTGCAGTTTTGCATGAACAAATTTCACTTTTGACTTCTTTTTGACATTAGCATGATCTAGTCAGCTTTCTTTAGTAATTTGAACTCAACATCATTATCTCTATTTCCTTTAAATCTTAAATATATCCTATATCTTCACAGGGTCAAAAGACATGGAATTTTGAATCTGAGCTCTGTAAGTTTCTGCAGCTGAGGGTCAGAGAATATTAGGTTTAAGAAATGACAGGGAGATAAAAATGTGCTTTTTTGCATCCGCTGGTCTTCCACATGAAAAGGTGTGATTAGTCCCCACATGCAGTGGAGAAGTGAGAGTACTCAAATGGGAAATAGGATAGAAAAAATAACTAATATCCCTGCCATAAGGTAGCTTTATTTCACTTTAAAATATAAAATACAGAAACACATTGTCAAGCTAAGTAATTCTAAAAGATCATTTAAAAGTTGGAATTTGTTAACTTTTGCTTCCTCCAACCCATTTTAGTTAGATACCTGAACAGGTTAATAACCAGATGGGATGTGGGCCTCTGTATGTCTCCGTTTTTAATGTTAACCATGCCAAACATTAAAAATCAATTATAATAGATGATTTAAGAAGAATATAGAGATCTTTGCACTCACTCTGAGTCTTAAGGTCTGGTATTGAGCTCTGCTTATCTGAGAACCAATTCATTTTCGAGTTGTCAGGAGATGAATGAGCACAATACGTGAATGAGCAGAAAATAACAAGGGAAATCATATGACTATTTCTAATATTTACTATTATAATCAAATAGAAGTAAAAGTAAGTGGGCACATATATATTATTTACACAAATATTTTTGTGTTGGCTATACTTGGTGACAAATGATGAGCAGTGATGACTATAGTTCCTATAAACTTACACAACCAATCTACAAAAGGAGCTTGAAAGCTTCCAGGGAAACCCCTAACTGCAGAAAGGGCCAGCTCTCTTCTTTCCAACACAGGGAGCCCACCATCCAGGTATGAGTAATCCCTGGTGAGAGATAGCTCTTCCCAAGACACTGCTAAGACTCAGTCCCAAGTCACAGGGAATTAAGAAAGAGTAGCTGTCTGTTCCATGGTTGATGGTGTCACCTTTCACTGCAGAGTCAACATGAAGCAGCATGAAGTTCAGGGTTGGTTTCATCTCCTTTGGGTATCTACTCTGTAGTGGGACTGCTGGGTCATATAGCGATTCCATTTCCAATTTTTCTGAGAACCTCTATACTGTTGAAGAGCTCTCTACACTTGGGAATTTATTATGACACAGTAACCACAAATTCAAGATGTGGATTCAACTGAAGTGTGCATAAACAGGTGAACAGGTAAAGAAAATGTGGTACATAGGTATAGTGTAATACTGCTCAGCCACAGAAAGATAAAAGCCTGTCATTTGTAATGACACATAAGAACCTGGATGACATGCTGACTGAAATACCTCAGTTGCAGAAAGACAAATACTGCACAGTTTTATTCACGTGTTAAATGTGAAAAGTAACTCATGGAATAGAGAGTAAAATAACTTACACAAAGCTGAAGATGGTGTGGGGCAGGGGACTGGGAGAAGCTGATCAGTATGTACAAAGTTACACTCAGGAAGAGTAAGTTCTCGTATGCTCTTGCATGGTAGGGTGACTGTGATCAATATTAATGTATAAAATACTTAAAAAAATCCTAATATAAATGCTTAAAGTGATATATACACTAACTAAACCAATTTAGTCATTATATAATATATGCATGTATTGAAACACATCAAATCGTACCCTTATAAATGTATAGTTATTGCTTGCCAATTATAACTGGAATTTAAAAAGAAAAATATATGTATCAGGCTACCAAAAAGGAGCTGGTGGCCAGAAGGAATGGGGCAGGGGAGGTGGGACAGTGCCACCCAGAAGCCGGGGAAGCTCCTTCTTGATCTGCCCCCGGGCAACGCTGTCCCAGGTGGGACGGAGGATGACTCCCTAACCAAGCATTTCTGCTAGCACTCCCTATACTAGGAGTGTCTGTGGATCAGAAAATACCCTGGAAGGCCTGGGGAAGAGGAAATATCATGTATGCACTTCTACGTGTGAATTAAGCCTTTAATTTGAATTTCTGGACTCCTACATAGCTGGGGAGAGTATAAGACACTGACCAGAGATGTGATGGAGGAACTTTGGTCATTTGGGTGGAAAATGAACCTTAGCCTCCAGAAGATGGTTAGAGGGACCAAGGGGGTCAGAAGATAGGAGAAGGAAGTGGAGCCAGGAAGATAGGAGCGAGGGTGGAGGTGTAATCTGCAGGTCTCTACTCACGCATTTGCAAAGTCAACTGTGCAGGGCATTTATGATGGGTGTGGCCTGTGGACAGGTGCACTGCTTGGCAGGGATTATTATGGGGCTGGCAGCTCACCCGTGAGACTCACCCATGGCAGGTTCCTGCTCAGATGTCATTTTCTTATTTTTATATAGGAAGAGCTATACTTCTCTGACCAGGAAGCCACCAGCAAGGCCTTCCTTCACTGGTCAGGAGATGCTGTGTGCAGTGCTCCTGATGCACCTGTGACAACGCATACCTCTCTAGAGCCCTGTGGCTTCTCAGCATTCTGTACCCTGTTTCCTGCTAACAGCTTAATCTTACTTGTTACATTTTTCTTTAGTATGCACGGATTCCTATTTGTCTGCCAAATGCCCATTTTACTCAGCCACTCAGACAACGGTAGAGAGACAAGGTATAGTTTAGTTAAGGTGATCACTGAACAAAGAAAACAATTTTGGTCTTTTTGGAGATGGGCTCACTTTTGGACATCCTGGGTTTTAGAGCAAAGCTAATGTCATTTGCAAAATCATAGTCTCCTGACCTCACACTAGCTTACCTGGAATAAAGCATTTATAAACAGTATTATATTTTTACATGTTCCAGTAATGAGGCAAATGTGCATAACAATTAAATTTTTAGAGTTACACGGTGTTTCATTTCATGTGTTCTAACCATGTTCTATCTATTCTTCTTTACTAAAGCATACAGATAGTTTGAAACTAGGACAAAGAGCAGACAGGAAAATCATCATGTTTTATGATCTACAAAAACTTTTTAATGTAATTTAGGAAAACAAATTGGAGCCCAAAACGCAGAAGATTCAGAGTGTAAGATGTTGCTAAAATTTCCCCATAAGGCCCCCTGACCTCCCCATAAGTTTGTTTCCCTAGAACCTGGTCCGGGTCCACGATGTATTTAACTAACATTGGTCAGATTTCAGTGGGGCTACAGAGAGGAGAATTACAAATCAGTGCCATTGTCCATTAACAAATGGTGACCTGTCCTAAAAATCCAGCTCTGAATGAGCAGGCACTCCTAAAACAACCTGTGTCATACAGTGCCAACTGAAAAAAAGCCCAGAAGTCCTTTGGTCACCCCCTCAGTAAGCTCGGCGGCATTCGTAGGAGCCCCAGGCCATACTCCCGTCATCTTTCGTCCAAGGTGAAGGGTCATGAAGGGAAGAGGCGTCTGTCCCCTCATCTGGGGAGAGAGACAACCCCTTGGGCAGCAGGTCGTTTGACATGGTCATGAAAGGGGCGAAGGGGTAGGGCGGTGGGGTAGGGTAGCCTGGTGCGTGGTGCAGGTCCTCCAGCGTGTGCAGGGAGTAGGGCTGAGTCCCGCTCAGGGAGGCGCCCCAGCTCGCGCTCCTGTGCTGGGTGCTGCTCACGGACTCCAGCGGGGAGAGGCAGCTGGCGCTGGGTGGCAGCGTCTGCAGGGCCTCGGTGGGAACCGGGTCCGGCTGGCTGAAGGCATCGGGCAGCAGCGTCTGCTCCCACGAGTCCCTCTGAGGAAAGGAGAGGCCTCTGAGGTTACTCTGCTGCAGGGCGGGGACCTCCCCAGCCGCCTGGCGCCCCCAGCTGAGGTCGGGGTGCGAGGCGGCTGCGCCCTCACACACCAGCAGGAGGAGTCGGTTCCTTTCTACTCCAGAGCCGGATTCCCCGTCTGTGCTTGGGGCGATTCTCCCCCAAACATCAGCCGAGGGAGCTGTGAGCGCACAGCCAACACCTACCGGGCACTTCGCTGCTGACAGCAGCGCCCTGCCTTGCACTGCTTTGGACCTCGCGCCGCTCCGAGGTCTGGAGTACCCTTGGCACTGCTGGGGAGAGTTTGACCTGACCCTCCGGAGGCGCAGGCTCTGACCACTGCCCGGCGGGGGCGCTGCCTGCAGCGGGAGGGGAAAGCCCGGAGGCGCCTCTCCAGCCCGCCTGGCTCGGGGTGCGCCGGCTTCACTCACGGTTGCGCCGCCCACTGCGCGCTTAGCTCTGCGCGCCTCACTTTTTCCATACGTAAAATGGGGCTTTCGTCAATATTTCCTGTTATTGTAAGTGCTAAAGGCACAGGAGCAGGCCAGGCGCTCGGCGTGGAAGCCCTGCCGCGGCGCCCTGGGGTCTAACGCTCCGCCTTGGGGTGCACCCCACCCACTGCCCTGCAGCGCGGGGCCCCGCAGCTCCGGACCCCGCCCGGCGCCCCGCGCGTACTCACGAGCACGAAGTGAGCGGGGTCCCCGGCGAAGGGCGGCGGCAGCAGCGGCGGCAGCGGCGCGGGGCCGAAGAGCGCGGCGGGGCCGGGGCCGGGGCCGGGGCCGGGGCCGGGGGCGAGCGCGCGGGGGTCCGCGAAGGGCTCGGCCAGGCCGGGCTCGGGCAGCACCCCGGGACCCTGCGCGGCCGCCGGCTCGCAGGCGAAGGGCTTCACCGCGCTGGGGCTGTGGGCGTCGCCGGGAAGCGGCTTGCTGCCGTGGAAGTCCGAGTCGGACAGGAAGGACCTCCGGACACCGTAGTACCCCGACAGGACCGGCGACCCTGTGGTCAGAGGGAAAACCGGGGTCACCCCTCCCCAGGGTCAGGGCGCCTGGGCGGGGTTCCTGGAGCGCGCCGGACACCCGGTTCACACGGCAGTGGACGGAGGTCTTGGAAGGGGCGAAATAAAGCTGTGTTACACTAAAAACACTTGCACCTCAAACGTGTTTCAAGTTCACTCTGCCTTGGGGCTTGGCGTGAGTTCACTTGAGACGGTGCAGAAGCCCGCACCGTGCACCCCTACAGCGCGCGCACCGCGCACCTCCTGGGCGCTGGACCATGCTGGGGCGGAGCTGGGCTTGCAGAGCTAAGTCAGAGCACCCTGGGCATCGACGTTTTATCCGAGAAAAGTCTTTTCAGGACTTTTGAACTATGCGTGTCTCCCTAATACACAGGACTGGTACAAGAGTCTGCTTTTGGCCTGAGATGCTGCATCTCTGGGTGAGGTTATACACATGGCTGCACCTCAGATCAGAGGCAGGCTGTACTCTGTCTTCTAATTTTTTGGGCACTGGCCTTTAAGACAGTATGTCGTCTAGCTTTGGGGTAACGTGGCAGCACAGAAGCCAGATTTAGAGGACCACAATTGTTTTCAGGCTTTGATGAGGCTGGTGTTATCTGCTGCCCTCGTGTGGCCATATCGAATTCCTCTCTGAGCTCCCCTGGGCACGGCAGGTTTAGGAAGAGTCCCCAGTACAGAACATTTCCCTGGGTGGGAGCCCGGGAGAGCTGATGCTGAGGACAGGCTTATGACTCTGGCAGGAAGAAGATGTTTCTGACCCCATAGCTCAGCTGTAGTAGGCAGTACACGGTCATCGGAAGCCTCAAGGTCTGTGGAGCTGACTGCTTCGGTGTTCCAACTGCTACAGGTGTGGTCAGCTAGCTAAGACCCTTGGTGAGGTCACAAAAGGCTGAACTAGGAAGAAAATACAAGTGCTTTCCTCTCTGCCTTCCTCCAGCACGGAGGAGGACTTCTAGAAGGCCTTTATTCCTCCTTATTTGCTGTTCCTCTGGGAGGAAGACAAACTCAATAAGGCCTTTTTGCTTGTTATGACTCGGTCAGACTGATTCAGAATTTGGCCTCCTGAGAGGGCACTTCATTTCATGCTCCTTATATTTTCACTTCTTACGCTTCTTTCCAGTCAGCTTGCAAAGTCCCTGGTGGCAGAGTTCATATCGTGTGCATTTTCTATAAACAAAGGAACATAGTGTCCCCTTCCACAACTGCATGCCAATTCATTCATTTAGCAGAAACAACCAGATTTCCTTTTGAAATTCACTACGTTTCCATCTTAAACTCCAGACCCCAAATGTCTAATTTACTCATGCATTTGAAGGCTGTGGTTAGAGTTCTAATAATACGCATACTTCTCCTGGAGAAAAACAATCTATGCAAATGTAAATTAGTGTCAATAAATCTGCTTCTGTTTCATGTCGTGATTTCATATTCACAGGTGTGGTTAGGGCTGAGACAGAACGAAGAGCAAACAAGGCTTTCAGGCCGTCACGCTGGTATTTCCAATTTTCAAAAACAATTATGCAGGAAAAAAAAAAACCCAAAACCTCTTTGCTCTCTGAGCATATCTTTTTTCTCTTGAAAAAGAGAAAGGATAATTCTAACTGAAAAGAGAAACTGCAGAAACTTCCTTCGGTAGAAAAGAGCAGATCAAGCAAGTCCCAATAATAATAAATACCACCAGGAAACAGAGTGTAGAAGCATCATGTACCGTATCTGGGCTTCTCTGCGGCTTTTCTTTCTCTCCCTTTTCTACCTCTGAAGGTGCTCAAGCACTGGAAAGGGCTGGGACACTTTTAAGTTTGATATCTGGAAGAGATCTGTGTGTGTGTATGTGTGTGTGCATGTGTGTGTATGTGTGTGTGTGTGCGTGTGTGTACCCAGCACTCGTATTCACCATGTCCTTTCCCATCCCCATAGGAACATTTAATGGGACATAGGTGATGGGATCAATAATATAGCAAATAGTTGAATTTTAAAAATTTATCAAAGACACATTGCCGTTAACCCCCTTAGAAGGCGCCCTCTCAGTTCAAACACACTAACCCCATCTTTGCTACTTGTTGAAGCAGTGCTGGATGTCTTTTCTGGTGAAAGTCTTTAGCTGAATCGTTATTGCTGCCTCAGTGTCCTGAACTGATTAAAAACATTTACGTATCCTGGTCATTTTGGGTTTGAGGAGGAGCCAGAAATTGCACGGGACAAGATTCAGTGAATAAGCTGATGAGAACACATGGTAATAATTTAAGAGCTGATTTTCCATTGGGTGGCACTCAGTAGTAGTCTTCGCCATATTCAGATCAAACTTTGTGCAAGGTACTCATTAGAGAGGACTTTCAGAATGTGGCAAGAATTATGGGATAAAGCATTTACACTGAAAGGGAGTATTGTAAAGGGGATTAATGACAATGTGTCTTTTACTATAATCATATTTTTGTTTTAAACACACACTGTATTTTGATTGGCTCTTGTATGCCCTGAAATGAACACAATATTCTGAACTACCTGCCTGACATACAGAGAGCACCCAACATATGGTAAAACATAGACCTTTCCCCCAGGTCTCTTTCTCTATCGATCTGGGGCGGGTACATCCTCTATAAGATTTTGGTGGCAGAATGAGACATTTAAAAGTGAATGGATAAAGAAAATGCATATATACACAATAGAGTACCACTTAGCCCTAAAGAAGGACAACACTGTGTCACATGCAGAAAACTGGGTATCTGGAGTCCATAATGCTGAGTAAAATGAATCAGATACAGAAGGTTGACTATCACATGGTTTCTCTTGAAGTATTTATACTTGAAGTATAAATAATCTGAAAAGCAAATATATATGAAACAAGAAGACAGACTTGGTGAATTTGGGGAGTGATGGGAGGGAGGCAAATGGAAAAGGAAATAAAAGAATTAAGATACAATATGTACCAAATCCCCTGATGATTTCTTTTGTGTTTTGCAAACATATACTAAAAATAAAACCTGTAAATGCTCTTGTCTTTGCCCAAAAACCTCTTTCCAGGCAGAGGATCAGAAGGCTTCCTCCAAAACACCCTGGGTTCTAAGTTCAGGAATGGTTGAAGGAGCTCTCTCTTCATGATTTTGTGACTTAAGACAATTGAAGTTATTTTTTAAATTTAAAAATACTTATCACCGTAAAGACCCATTATCATGAGTCCTGCTCACATTACTCACCCTGACCGCCAACACGCTCATCTTTCTCCCCACTTTCTGTAACAGCCCTGGAATCTTCCCGCCTGACCATCTTCAGGAGGTGCGAGAAACAGTGCCCTAAGTGCCGCTGCCCAGTGCCGCCCAGAGGAAAAGAGGCTGGTGCAAACCTCAGGGGTCCTCACCCTCCTCACTGGGGCCACAGCCCCACTTCCGGCTCTTCTCCAAAGTTCAGATGACCATGAAAACTAAACATTTTGAGCCAGTTCAGGACACTGAGGCAGCCACGACAGTTCAACCAGAGGCGTGGGAGCAGACTCGCAGAAGGTGGCACGGATGAGACAGTGTATAAAAAACTCATTGTGGAGAAGCAAAGCTGCTAAGGATGTGAGGCACTTAGGAACACAGTAAAAAATGCAAACACTCAGTTTGAACTCAAGGGAATTAGTAGCCTGCTAAATTGAAAGCACTCACCTGGCATCCCGACGAACGGAGGCTGGGAAGAACTCACACTGCCCTGGAAGGGAAGCAGAACACAAGTGTTTTCTACTGTAGGTGCAAGTTTGGAATTAATTGAAACACCAGGACTATATTCTACAAGTTTCATTTTCTGATACTCGGAGATGTTACTTGAAAAGTTGGGTTGGGGAAGTCAAGACACAGGGAAACCAAACTTGTGGATTCTTGTAAGCGTGCCAGAAAGTGTTTTATTATTTGCATTAATGCTCCTTCTTAATATATATTAAGTATCTCTACAAATGCATTTGCACGTGTTATGCATACGCCTAGCATTTGGCTTCAACCTTGAATAGCTAGTTTTAATTGTTGGGCTCCACATAGTATAAAAGCTCCCTGGGTATAGGAACCTTGACTGTGGCTTTTCTTATTTATCCAAACAGAATGTGATTCATAATAGATGTAATAAAAACACATGGAATGGCAATGCTGTTCTGAAAAGCCCAGATGTGGGAGGCTGGGGGATGTGAGAGGTTGACTTATGTCCAACTAAAAGATAGATTGTAGTCGTCAACTTTGGTAGCCATGAATGTAACCTTATTTGGCAGTAAGATCTTGACGACATAATTAGTGAAATCAAGCTGTTATATTGAGTTGGAGTCGATCCAGAAGGTCATGTGATGACAGAGGCGGAAATACAAATGGCGTAAACTCAAGTCATGGATGGTCGAGGATGGCCAGCAACCTCTGGAGGTTAGGAAGAGGCAAAGAGAAATCCTCCCCCGGGAAGCTTCCGGACAGCACGGCCCTGTCCACACCTTGACTCCAGACATCTGCCTTCAGCTTGCGAGACAGCATTTTGCTCCTTCTTTAATTCATTCCATTTGTTGTGATTTATTACTGCAGCCCTAGAGAGCTAATGCAGGGTTGGCCAAGGACGACACAGGCAGACCATGGTGGCGTGAGAGGTGCCGTGCTCGGGGAAAGCTGGGTGATGTGACCTTAGGGCTGCAGGGGGAAACATCCTGGAGGAAGGGGATTTCAGGTATGAATACAAATTCTGATTTCAAGAAGCCCTGAGGCAAAGTAAGTGACTGTAGCTGCCATGAAAATTAAGACTCCTCCACATTCCGAGCTGCAAACCTCAGCTCTTAGCCCCGACCTCACGGTCCTATCCACTCAAGAAATGCTGTAAACTCTCATTCAACCACTTGCTCAGTGGTTACTTCTCTTCGTATTAGTAAAACTGGATGTACCTAGTACCTAGTGCCAGCGAGTTCAGCACCCACTGGTTAGCCTGAGTTCTTGTCTGGGGACCTCTGACTTTCCCAAGGGTGCTGAAAGGAGTCATTTCCTAGTTATAATCTCTTTGGTTCACACTGAACAAGTTTAACCCTTGTTCTATGTCCAGCTTTTCAGTATCTGAAGACAAATCATTTCCCAGCCATCTCAGCTCCAGCACATGAAAACACCAGAGACTCAGGGGTTACTGCTGCCACTGATAACGTATTCCTCACAGTTTACGGAGCAGAAGGTCTGAGGTCTTGGCATGGGCCCCCTGTCCGGTTAGCACAGAGCGGGCTTCTCTCTGTCTTCATGTCATGAAGACAGAGTCCATCGGTCTGTGTCTTTTCTTTCCAGGCTCCACTCTCATACCGAAGTACCTCCTGTGTCTCCACCTCCAAAAACCATCGCGCTGGGAATTAGGGCTTCAGCATGGGAATTGTGAGGAGGACACAGGCATTCGGTCTGTAGCCCTGACACCGAATTCTATATTCTCCAGGGCAATTATTCTCCGGCCGCTTACAAAAAGTGTAGTATTTAAGAGCAAAACTCTGAAACCACAGTGTCTGTGTTTGAATTCCAGGTCTGCTTCTAATTAGCTGCAGCATTTTGGGTGATTAAGTGAGATCAGCGACAGAGAGTACTTAGAATAGTGCCTGACAAAAGGATTACCATAGTATTACCACAGTAATCTCTGCTGAGCTGTGGGGAACATGTGCTGAGTCCCGGTGAGTGCCTGAGACCATGGACAGGACTGAACTCTATGAAAATGTCTTTATCTACTCATACATATTTTATGGTTAAGGTTTAATTTATAAGTTAGGTATGATAAATCTGGGTGTGGTGGTACCCCGTTATAATTTTCGCATCTGGGAGGTTGAGGCAAGGGGATCACAAGTTCGAGCCCAGCCTGAGACACTTTACCACAAAACAAGGGCTGTTGCTGTAGCTCAGAAGGAAGGCACAGAGTTCAATCCCCGGCTCCACACATACACAAAGCTCAATAATAAATAATAAACGAACTGTACCAAAGTCGCCAGCATCACCTCCACATGTTGAGGCCGTTCGTAAGTGAATGTAGGTTACCTGCGCATCAGTGCTGCGATGCTGTGAAGGTCAGTCTGACACCTGAGAGGCCACTGGTTCGCGGGGTGGCGTCTACAGTGCAGACACATCCAACAAAGAACGACCCCTGTCTGAGCAGGGCAGAGTGAGTGAGCACAGCTTCCTGTCTCTACTAGGAGGGTGCACAACTAAACACTGATGAGCTGTTATGTTTGAATTTTTCCATTTGATATTTTCACATTTTTGTCCGCAACAGAAACTGAAACAACACGGGGTGAGCCATTACTGCACGCTGATGCGGATTTAGCCGCCTTCAAATCTGTCTAAAGATGTTCTGATTTCAGTGTTTTCCTATTTACTAAATCAACACTTTCAGGTGGCAGAAGGGAGCCGTGGACCACGCAGTGACCGAGGTGGGTTCGGACCAGGGTGCCCTGATGCACTGGCATCCAGACCCGTTTTCCCAAGCTGTCAAGGCCCCCATGGCCCGGGGTCACTCTCCAGTTCTGGCTCTGTGTAGCTGGGTCCCCAGGGCTGTGTCAGCCCCTGCCCTCGGCCTTCTGCTCTGGCCTCTGTGCAGTGTGAGAAGGGGTGGGGGGAGCCCCAGGCTCCGTCTCAGGAATGTCTCCTTGTGCTCCCACTTCTGCACCTTCCTGTGCGGCTCACATGGCTGTGGTGAGCAGGGCCGGCGTGCAGGAGGCTTCTCTGAGTCGCAGTCCACACACCGTTTGCTGCGCGGGCCTTTCTGACCTCGGAGGTGGCTTGTAACTATTATTAGCAGTCCCGCTTCTCCCTCAGCGCTGGTCATCAGCTGGCCTTCTGCCTCTGCCCAAGCGTAGATGGAGCCTACGTGGCTGACGCAGAAGCTCTGCCTCTCACAGCTCTGCTGTCCAAATTTTCCTGTCTTTCTCTTCCACCACCAACACCCCCGAGCATCTTCTGTGCTCCTTTCTCCTCCTGCCCAGGCTTAATTATTACCATGGGGCTACCGGCTCTGTCCCCTGCCATCCCAATTTTAACACCAGAAAGCTCCACAAACACTTCACAAGCACCAGTCCAAATCGATTGTGCTTATTATTTGACACAAAGAAGCTTCTTGTGTTGTTCTCTTGTCCTACGCAATTTTTCTGCCTATCTGCTGTGGAAAGTATATACGCTATTTCCATTCTTTACGGTTACCTGCAAAATTTTACATACAGATTTAACAAAGCCTACAAACAGTACCTTAGCCCTCCCACAGAAAGACATAAATCCGAGCACAGCACTCCTCTCCTGATCTGCATGCATACGCTTTTCTGTTTCTTTTCATTAAACCTCCACAAATTAGACATCAGCACCGTCATGTTAAGTGAATACTCATTAGATTTATTTATTGTGTTGAACATTTGCTTTGATGACTCATCTTCCAGATTTCCTTCTTAGATTTAGCTTCTCCTAAAGTGATTCCAGAAATAGTATGGATGGTACTGAGAGTAAACTATTCAGATTCCATCTCCATGACCACACAGGGCTGATAAAAACATGAATAAACAATGGTCACAGTAAAGCTGTCCTGCCACTCATCCCCTCACCATGTCGTGGCTTCGAGCACGCTTAGACATCATTTCTGCCCTTCCTGCAGCAGTTTAGGAGTCCTCTTCTGGGAGTGCCTTTATGAGGCGTGATACCAAATGTGCCACGTGGAAAGGTGGCCTTGTGAGAATGTTACGGTGTGGCCTTCTCGCCTTGTTCCCTGGATGACCAGCATGGCATTTTGGCTTTTCCCCAAAGTCAGAAAGTTAGGAATCGATTCATGACGTGGGGCACCACCGTGGCACGGCTGAAGGCGCTCGCCAGGGGGACCTGAGGGCTGGGTGGCCTCTGGGCTTCTCACGGCTTGCTTTGTTTGGTAGCTCTAGCATCTGAAAGGCCTGCGAATGTAAGTTGATGGCTCGTGCTGTCTCACGGCGGCCTGGCTCCTGGAGATCTTTGATGAAAGCTTGTATCTGGTTACATGAAGCATGGGGTCCTAAGCTGAGCTTTCTTTCTTTTAGAAGATTCATGTTTATTTTCTTGGGCGCATCTTGCTTCTGCTGCCCCCAGATCACCTTGCGGCTCTCAGGATTAGTGCAGCTTTCAGCCCTGCCAGCACTCAAGACTCAGTCCTCACACACCAAGCCAACCTGTCTGCCTGGCTCAGGGAGCCCCCAACCCCACCACGACCACCTTTCATCACTCAGGGCCTTAACTCTGTCAAACATCTCCCCAGCCTCCCAGGGCAGCCACCACTCGGCCGTCGTGGAGATTTCCCTTCCCCTCCTGTCAGCTCTGCAGTAACCCACTGGAACTTGTGTTCACCAGAATCTGGTTTTGCTGTGGGACAGCTGTCCCCGCCCTGCCCATTTAGCCTCCCTGGAGCCTCTCTGACTCCTCAGATGTGGAAACTAGACATAGACACCTTCCTGGTGTCTTTCCTTTTCCATGACGTGTAACATTTTCAGCGGAGATTTACATTGTAATAGAAGGAATCCATCAGCCACAACTCGTAGTTTCTCAGATATACAATTAGGCATTGTGAGGGCCAAATATCGTACATGGGTTGTCTTGCTTAATTCTCGTAACAGTCCTAGGGGATAAGTAATACTATCCTCATTTTACTGACGAGGAAGCTGAGGCACAGGGAAAATAGCTCAGTTG